AACTTCAAACTCCTGAGCTCAAGTAGTCCTCCCACCTGGGTCTCCAGAGTAGCTGGGACTACAGGTGTGCATCACAACACCTGGCTAATTTTTAAATTTTTTGTAGAGATGAGGTCTTGCCTTGTACCCAGGCTGGTCTCAAACTCTTGGCCTCAAGCAATCTTTCTGCCTCAGCCTCCCAAAGTGTTTTTGTTTTGTTTTGTTTTTTACATGCTTGGCTCAGCCAGTATTTTTCTTTCTTCCTTTTCTTACAGAAGTGTTTTAGGTGTTAGTTATTGATGTATGTGAAATCTCTTTTGGCCAGGCACAGTGGCTTACACATGTAATCCTAACACTTTGGGAGGTCAAGGCAAAGGCAGGTGAATCACTTGAGGTTATGAGTTTGAGACCAGCTTGGCCAACATGGTAAAACCCTGTCTCTACCAAAAATACAAAAATTAGCCAGGCATGGTGGCACAAGCCTTGGTCCCAGCTAGTCCAGAGGCTGAAACAGAAGAATCACTTGAATGTGAGCCGAGATGGTGCCATTGTACTCCAGCCTGGGAGAAAAAAAAATCCCTAAGCTATAAAGCACTATGCAAACATAAGTGATTTTTAAATTAATAATAAAGCTGCTTGGGAGCCAGGAGGATCATTTCAGCTCAGATTGAGGCTGCAGTGAGCTATGATCAAGCCACTGCAGTCCAGCCTGGGTGACAGAGTAAGACCCTATCTCTAATAATAATAATAATAACAATAATAAAAACCCTTTTATAGCCAACAGAAGAGAGGTAACGCCTTATTTCTCTTAAAAATACTCCTGGTTTGGCTGGGCATGGTGGCTCACGCCTGTAATCCCAGCACTTTGGGAGGATGAGGCAGGCTGATCACCTGAGGTTGGGAGTTCGAGACTAGCCTGACCAACATGGAGAAACCCCGTCTCTACTAAAAATACAAAATTAGCTGGGCATGGTGGTGCCTGCCTGTTAATTCCAGCTACTCAGGAGGCTGAGGCAGGAGAATCGCTTGAAACTGGGAGGCGGAGGTTGCAGTGAGCTGAGATTGTGCCATTGCACTCCAGCCTGGCAACAGGAGTGAAACTCTGTCCCAAAAACAAAACAAAACAAAAACCTCCTGGTTCTCTGGTATAGATGATGTGAGTCTGTAGCTAACCTACTTTCTGCTAATTTGGGTCCCTCCTCCCAGGCCATCTACAAAACTGGTTTTCACAGTCGTCTTGGTGCACCAGTAACAGTTATGTTCTAGCTCTGTATTCCATCTCTAGAACTCTGCCTCTCTCCCACACTCCAACCATATGCACATAGTTCCTTCTCAGAACAAGATTCTGTTCCTGTAATTGACACTCATCTTAATTCACTTATCCAATGCAAACTATTTAATATAACCAGTCTGTACCTCTGGCTGAATGTTTCTGCAACATCTATTCTTCCTCATTATGAAATCTTGGGAAGTGCTGGTAGAGACTGCAGAGTGGTTAATTATGGTATAGATAGTATGGTGATTAGGAATAGAGAGGGAGGGTTAATAAGATAGGAATAGTAAGGGTTTGACTACTTACTAGCTGTTTGACCTTAGCAAGTTAACCTTTTTGCCTCCTATTATCATATGTGTTTAATACAGTGCCTAGCATGTAATAAGAGTTATGTGTTAGCTATTATTATTTTTATTATTGTTTTATTCAGTTGCATCTTTTGTCAGATTAGCCACATACCAGTCAATCCGTTTGTATTAACAAGGCAGTTATTCAACTTTCAGAAGGCAAAATACATATCTCATCTGACTTTCACAAGCACTTTCAATTAGCAATAATCGCGCCTCGGCTAAACCTCATTGGCTGCGATACTGCCACTGCACAAAGCTTGCACTTTCATTCATATTTCACAATTAGTCTATTCAATATAGCAAGTTGAGAACTAAAAGACCTAATTTTTAGTCTTCCTGATTAGCTCTGACCAAATGACTACTTAGAACTTAATTTTCCTATGCCCCACAGTCTTTTTTTCAGCAAGCAATACAGTATTTAATGTTCCCTTAGAAAAAAATAAATCATTTCAAGCTGCTGCTGTTCACCTATTAACCCTTTTGGGATTTCATGGTGTCGGGGGTGGAGCGGGGGAGTAATCTATAATTTGCTTGGCTTACAGAGATAATACCCCCTTCCCAAGTCTGTCTTTTAAAAGGTCATTTCTTACATAATGGAGAACAGAGGCTGCAAAAACAACTACTTGATCTGCGGCAGTCACTACCTTCCAGAATGAGAAGTTAGATTTTCTTCTTTCGTTTAATTTATATTTTTACCTGCACAGTACACATGCTGCTTCCTACGGTTGGCAGCTTCCATTTCTTTCCTCTTTCCCACAGTAGCTTAAATTAGCCCATTGTCATCAGCAAATCTTAATTTACAATTAAGTGCCAATTAAGAGCTCCATTAAGTCGGTCCATTGATCGTTGTTGATGTTGATGTACCTCAAAGAGAATGGGGCTTCCTCAGTCTTCTCCTGGATTTGACTTTCAGTTTTGGAATTAATTGTTGAAGCTGCTGCCTGTGTTCTGCTGATGGGTCTGCCTTTTGGTCCTGCTAGTGGGTTTGTTTTCTGCCCCCTGTTGATATCCAAGTTGTTTGCCCACCTAGAATCTTGGCAGGCGTGCACCACTGAGAGGGCGGAGTGGGTGGCTGGAGGTAAGGAGGCTCATGGCAGTAAGTCTTTCTAAAAATCAAGTCTGTTAGCAAGGTTAAGTTTAGTAGGGTCAATATCCCTATGTCAGTGAACATCAAGTGAGTATCTGATTCTTAGAACAATAACCCATTTCTTTCCATTTTCATTCCTCTCCCTGACACTCTTCATATATCATAATGTACATAAGAGCACTTGGAAATATTTTGATAATCTGAACATTTACCAAATGGAAAATTATTCTGGTAGATGAATATTACATTTGGTAATTTTGCCAAGACCACAGAGAAAAGTCTGGATTAGGATGACTGATTCTTCATGCGCTAAAAGAGAAAACAGAACTAAAACAAGAAACATCAGACTTATTTATCACAACCTTAAAATGTTAATTGGGTTGAACACAGTAGCTCATGTCTGTAATCCCAACACTTTGGCTGAAGGCCGGGTGCTTGAGACCAACCTGGGCAACATGGGGAGACCTCATCTCTACCAAAAAAAAAAAAAGTTAATTGACCATATCTGTATTGACTAAAATAGGAAATACAGGTATCTACCTAATGGTGTTTTGGGTTTTCAACCAAAGCTTTTGTTGGTTCACTATATACATTGTTGAACCTGCCCAGGTCACAGTCTTGTGACCCACTAAACCTATTTACTTTTTCTGAAAACATAAAAGCTCTAAAATGTAAGCAACCTGGCTGACTCGCTTCCCACCATGCACAGAAAGGAAAAATTTGGCGTCCAGGGCCTCCTGAATCAGACCTGGAAAAGCTCTTAATTAGCTTATGGATTCCACAAGTGGTGGACAGAGTCACTAAAGAGGTAGAGACAGTAGAGATGGGTTAAAGCACTTTTAATCACAAATAAACAATAGTATAAGACTGAACAGCTCACTCAGTAGCTGTTGTCCTCCTCCAGGTCTCAGCTCACCCCTCTTCCCATGCCCCTTCCCTGGGTACCATTGAGTAAAGAGCAGGGTATAGGCAGCTGTCTCTGTTGCTATCAGGTGGTAGGAAGGGGATCTAGCTAGGGACCATGGCAATCCTGGCCATCTGTCCAGGGTGCTGTTTCTATTCAACTTTATCATGCAAAATAGTCCAGCTGTGAAAGACGAACAGTGCAGAAATCTGGGACTGAACTTGGCTGTTCCATTCAGATGGTCCAGGGGTTTAGAGCCTCAAGAGCCAAGGGCAAAAAGGGAAGGGATAGTCTGGAGTCGGCATAATTCAAGATGCAACCAAATGTGGAACTGAGGTGGGTCTAAAGGGGACCAGGGAAGGCCTCATGGCCCCCAGTCCAGAATTGTGCCCCAACCCTGGCAATGAAACTCACGCATATGTACAAATGCACATGAACAAACACACACACCAACACACAGAGCAAATAACATTACTGAAAGAACCTGGAGGCTATTAAATACAAAATGGCAGAGGTTTTTTTTAAAGTGAAAATATTTGCTTCTTTGGTACTCCTCAGTGCCTTGCTGTCCCCCAGTCACAGAAGAGTAGATACAGGAAGGGCCAAGAGGAGTATGTTGCCAGTGGCCCTGCAGGTCCATGTATGCTTAAATTCCCATAGCAGCCACCTTACTCTTCAGCCCAGTAGCTGCTTCCCATGTGACCATTCACCTGATTGGCACCATTGCTGGAGCTACCGTCACAGGGACTTTTTGTGCACGTGGTCACATCATCTTCCTCTGAGCTGCTCTCCACATCACTGCGATCATCCTTAGATACCTGGGTGGGATGGGACCAAAGACAGAAAAGTAAGGACAGAACTTTTCTGGAGAGAACCATAAGACACACCTAAGCTCAGAGACCCAGGTTTGGGCACTGTGTCCCCAGTCTGGTCTGCTTTCTGGTGACACCTGACTCAAAGTATTGTTTGGACCATGGCTACTGTTATGACTGTGCTTCACCTGCTTTCTAGTTTTCTCCCTTGTCATCTCCAATTCTGTTCTCTATGGAATAAAAGCTACTTTGGTAGAGGGGGTGTGTCTTTTAGGACCAGCCTAAGAGAACTGACATCATTCATTGAGACCTGGTTTAGGTTTCAGGGAAACTCCAGATACCCTTTCTCTTCTTCCACTTCAAAACCAGGAAAGGCTAACACAAACAATACATATGACTGTCAGGACTGCTTCTATCTTCTGGTGGTTGTGGACAATGCATTTATTCATATTGGTTATGCTGTTTGCCTTATCCTCAAATCTGATCCATAATAGGCCTTTTTTAGTAGTTTACCATTCCTGGGCTCAACTACCACTAACCTATGACACTGTTTTCCAATCTTCTTCCCTTTTCCAAAAGCAAGATCACTTTTCTTGTGAAACTTCAGCATCCCTAAGATACACAATATAGTGAAAACAAAAATGGATTGGCAGTCAATGAGAAAAGAATCTCAGCTTTTCTTTTTTTAATCATGCTACCATCTGTGAATGCTTGTTAACCTGGGCTTTTTTGTTTGGTATTTTCAAATGAAGCATCTGGATTACAGCAGCGTTTCCCAATCTAAACGATCCTGCATATCAAGCAAAGTATTTCAATTTCTCTACCATGGGCCAGGCATGGTGGCTTATACCTATAACCTTAGCACTCTGGGAGGCCAAGGCAGGATTGCTTGAACTCAGGAGTTTGAGACCAGCCTGGGCAACATGGTGAGAGACTTGTCTCTACAAAAAATAAAAAATGACAAAATTAGTTGGGCATGGTGACATGCAACTGTAGTCCTAGCTACTTGGTAGGCTGAATTGAAGCAGGAGGATCTGTTGAGCCCAGGAGGTTAAGGCTACAGTGAGCCATGATTGCGCCACTGCACTCCAGCCTTGGCAATGGAGCAAAATTCTGTCTCAAAAACAAACAAACAAAAAAAACCTCTATCCTGGACTCTAAAAGAACAGAAACCCAGTGAGACCTGTGTAGGATTTCTGACCTCCAGAACTGAAGGATAACAAATATGGTTTAAGTAAAGGAGAGAAGGAAGCGAAAAGGAACATAGCTGTAACAGCTGTTGCCAAGGAGGTGAGCATTTGCTTTGGATTAGCCTCTTGAATTTGTGTTTGATGACTCTGCTGTAGTTGATTATAGCTGCTGACATCTGAACCCAGATGACTAATTGATTACCTGATCTTTAGGATATTTCCACCACAGGGCAGAGTGTCTCTAGACTTCAGGTAAACAGAGACTCAAGAAAAGAAAAAAAAGTAGACTCAATTCTTGCCTCAATTTAGGAAAAAAATCTGGCAACTGCAGCTGTAGTCAATAATGGTCCCATAAAGTCAGGAGAGAGGGCATGCTCTGAGGCAAACACAAGGGAACAGAAAGGAGAGCAGGAGGAAAGAGAACCACATTCAGAAGGACATGCTTCACTGAGTACTAGAAGCACAGATACACTTACATGCAAGAGATGAAACTGTCCACCTCCTGCCAGGCATAGAAAAAAGGAAGGAGGTGAGGAAAGAGTGGAGAGTACAGGGTCTAATTCTTCCTGGACAGGTCACCTAGTCAGGAAAGAAAAGCAGGAGAGAACAGAGATGTCCAGTAGCTACAGCAAGATGCACAGGCACACTGAGCAAGTTCTGAGCCAATGGCAGCCATAAGGAATAATGACATTGGAGCTCATCAGTATTTAGGCTACATTCCATCAGTTGGTCCTAGTATCAGTACCTCCTCAAGCAGAGCCCCTCCCACTTGGGATTCTGTATTCCTTTAGGCTGAAATCCTTAGCTCTTGGACTAACTACAGTGTGACTGCCTCAAAATTTGCAAAGTTCAATTATGAGTATATCATTAAGTGGCATCTTTCTTTGGCTTATGGCATAAGATGGGTATTTGAAACACTACATACCCATTCACTTAGGACACTTGCCTCATACATCAGTGGGGTGAGGTGGGTATTTAGTTTCTCATATAACCCATATCTTGAATATCACAGCATGGTCATCCTGTGGTGGCTTGTGAACTACCACACACCACTTCTAGGTACCTTAACAATCTGCTTTTATACAGTTTATACAGCTCTGCATATGGTTTACTTTGAAAAAGGCCCCATGTCAAAAACAAAAATATGAAATCCACTGAAGTAGGTAGGTAAAGGGGAGGAAATGGTTGAGGCCATCTTTTAAGAAACTCTTAACCTTTGAAACCACCTCTGGTATAGAAATAAAAAAAAAAAGAAAAAAACTTTTAACCCTATCATCCTTTATTTATTTTGAGATGCAGTCTCCCTCTGTCTTCCAGGCTGGAGTGCAGTTGCTCGATCTCGGCTCGCTGCAACCTCCGCCTCCTGTGTCCAAGGGATTCTCCTGCCTCAGCTTCCTGAGGAGCTGGGATTACAGGTGCATACTACCACGGCTGGCTAATTTTTGTATCTCTAGTAGAGATGAGGTTTCACCATGTTGGTCAGACTGGTCTCGAACTTTTGACCTCGTGATCCGCCCACCTCAGCCTCCCAAAGTGCTGGGATTACAAGCATGAGCCACCGTGCCCAGCCCCCTATCATCCTTTAACAAAAGCCATTCCTAAGGGACAGGAAGAAGGCAGAACTTTCCTCTTGCATCTAAAGCACATCTTAAGAGGTAAAACAGGCTTGTTGTAGTGGCTCACACCTGTAATTCCATTGCTTTGGGAGACCGTGGTGGGAGGATTGCTTGAGGCCAGTAGTTGGACACTGGCCTGGGTAACAGTGACACCCTGTGTACAAAAAATAAGACAATTAGCCATGCATGGTGGTGCTCACCTATAGTTCCAGCTACTTGGGAGGCTCAGGTGGGAGAATCCCTTGAGCCCAGGTTTGAGGCTGCAGTGAGCCATGATCATGCCACTGAATTCCAGCCTGGGTAACAAAGCAAGACTTTTCTCTCTTTAAAAAAAAAAAAAAAAAAAAAGCGCTCATGGAAAAGGCGAAGACTTTGGAGCCCCAGGCTTTTTGCTTGGTTTGAGTAGATGGGGTTTACCAGGTGTGGAGAAAGAATGTCTGTTGAGTAATCCCTATCTTCCCCCACACCCCAAATAAGCCATCTTTCATTCTCACCTTTCCCCTGATCAAGGCTTTCAAAGCAATCCGTGCAATCAGGTAGGACCAGATGACATGCAGAACCTGTAGGATCACCAGAAGGCTATTGAGGAGCCACCAGGAAGTGTAAGGCCCGATTATCTCCCAACTCTCAAAGAGGGTCGTGTTCAGAATCCTAGAAGAGGGAGGCCAACAGTCAGATTCTAGAGTCAAAGCTCAGCAGACAGGGATGAAGCTGAGTCCTAGCAGAGCTCTATGTGTTTCCTTCCCAGCCCTTTTGTCAGCTGAAGTTCCAGGGACTGTCATCCATAGTAAGAAAATAAAGAAAGGGAGGACCCTGTTGTGTTTTCTATCTTTAGCGATAAGGAAAGAATAAATCTTAGGAACTGATGGATTATGTCATATTATTATTAATCACTTCAAATATGCAGTTTCATGAAATTAGGACAGCAGTGGGACTGTAATCATAGGAATGACTCAGCTCTTCAGGCACATATAGGATAGGATAGTAGGCAACTGATTTCCATAAAGCAGTGAATGTAGAAGTAAAAGGAGACAGGGAGAGAAGGGGTGGGGGAGCAGAGAGAGGGAGGGAGGGAGCGGGGGAGAGGAAGAAAGAAAAAGAGAGAGAGACAGAGAGGGAGTGTGTTTGTGTGTGTGTGTTGGTCAGGGTTGGGACCAGAGCAGGAACACAAACAAAAAGGGCCTGAGAATTGTGTCAACAGTGCAAAAGAAGGCAAAGGAATTACTTAGGTATAAAATGAGGATTGTTCCTCAGAGATGAGTCAGAAAAACCAGAAGCCCACCAAGTCAAATACTCTGAGTCTGGATCCGACCTTGCTAGAAATATGGTGTGAGGCAGCAGAGGTCCTATGAGTCCATAAAAGGTCAGCACAGGCCAAGGTAAAAGCAGGGCAATAGGGTTCTTGGTGTTCTATCGGCAAAAATAGAATAGAATAGAACAGAAAAACTGAATGGGCAAAATGAGAATTGGCAAAAAGGTATCATTAGGCTCACACCTACCACAGCTCTGTCGCCCTGCCGCTTACCAGAATGGATAGATTCCTAGACGTGTAACCATAAAAACAACACTGAAGATCACAAAAAGGGTGTCACAGAGCCGCTGATACTTGGCATAATTGGCCAGCTTGGCTGCCTGGAGAAAGGAAGATAAGAATTGAGTTGGGGAGAAAGTTCTCACACAGGAATAGAAGAGAAGGCGAAGAAGATGGAGAAAGAGAGACTGGGTTTTTACCTCCAGCAAGAAGTCTGAGACATCATGTAGACACATGATCAGAGTTCCCACTCGAACCATATTGTTGATGTAGGAGAAGGAGATAAGCCCAATGGTAACCAAGTGATGTACAAACATGATCAGGAAGTCCTAGGAAGGAATAGAAATAGAAGAGGGAGGTAAAGGCCAGGACATAGAAACATCAGCCAACCCAATGTCCTGCATTATTCTCTGAGGATCTTACCCACCCTGTATATAATCGTTTCCATTCTGCTTCGACTCTCCCTTAAGCTACCTAGCATTTAACTGAACACTCCCTACATCAGTGACTGACCCATACTCTATGTTAATGCAGCTGAAAAACCAGAAGGTAACAATTTCCTTTGGTAACTGCAGAATCTGGGGGTAACTTCCCAATGGGACACATAAGCCTTAGAATTCCCTGAGATTCTATTACTCTTCTGCTTTAATCAGAGAAATATCAACTAAAAGACCTAATAGAAAGGAGAGGTTTGTGGCTCCAATTTCCTCTTGGGTTCAAATGTCATTAGACCTGGGGAAGTCTAAGTACTTGAGTTATCAGACACATCTATTAAATAATTCTCAGTTTATTATTTTTAAAACTTATTATCTCAAACTCTCTTTTATGTATCACATATTAAAATAAAATTTTAATAAAGTGACCTGTGTCTTCTGACCACAGGAGAGTAAAAGGCTTAAAAAGTGAGTGTCAAGTTTCTATGTCAGATAACACTAACAACCCGGGTAAGTTTTAATTCATTCCCATAAATGCTAACCCTTATTTTCTTCACCAAAGTGAAACCTGAGTTAGTGACAGATTATGGTTAGAGCTGCTGGAACCACATTATTTCACGTAGACACTAATAAAAAGGTAAAGATTCTGTCTTTCCTATTTGGTTGTATAAACTGAAGTTATTTCCAACTCTGTCACTATCTGGGCAAGTCAGCTCCCTTCTCCCAATCACTGCCTCCTAAATAATAGCAGGAAGAGAGTAAAACCCCTTCCTGTTGACCTTCTTTGAGTAAGTGGGGTAACCCAAAAGGGAAAACAGAGCAAGGGTCCCTAACGGTATATGAAAGCCATGTCCAGCTATTCTGGAATAGGGTGTTTATTCTGAATAAGGCATTGCTACCCTCCAATTCTGACTAGTTTCCTGAGCTTTAGATATGTAAGAGGCTTAAAGGAGAAAATGGAAGAAAGTATGCTTCTTAGCTGGTTAACTGTTCTCATCCTGGGGCTGCCATAAATGTCTTAAATATACTTCATCATTAGTTAAGTCTCATTTCTGGGAACATTACAACAAGCTAACAGTCTCATCAAACCTACTTTCTCCTTTTGCGGTCCCAGTCAGGGAAGATAATCCATCATAATGGCAGTCATGGAAGCTGCTAGAAAGAAGGATGCAGTAAGTTGGGGGACTGAGGGAGCCAACGTCCTTACCTTTCTTTTAATGTCTGTAAACTGAGAAAACATAAGGGACCAATAGAAGGCCAATTCCATGATATAATAGTAATAAAGTCCGCTTGACAGAGGCTGGAAGAGAGAAAGAAATAGGATACCAGCTAGTCATTCCATTTCTCCAACTTTCTCTGCCTTGAAGGACCAATACAAATTATTAGACATCTCTCCTCCCCATTCTCTCCCAAGACATGCAATAGCTAACAGACTTTGGATTGCTGTGGAGACTTCCCTTGCCCCTCTGCACATACATCTTCATTCAGCTCTCATCTTGTAGAGATGAGATACAGTTAACACATACTATAACACAATCAAATCAGTATGTCTAGGATTCTGGGCAGTTAGTGCTTTTCACAGGATTAAATACACATAGGCCTTCTCTTCCACCCTTTAACAGTTCCTTGACATATTTCCAGTATGTATTACAACCAAGATGCTCTTAATGGGATTCCAAGTTACCCTTGGTACAAAAAAGACATCTGAACCAGAAAGCACCTCATTAAATACCAGAAAACTGCTTTTCTTTCTAGCCCAATTAGGGTGAATAATAATGGGGAAAATCAGAACAAAAAACTCACTGGATTTCATTGCTATGGGGGCCTCAAGAATAGATACCTCATATGACTGTTAGCAGTGGGGGGAAAAAAAAAAAGATACCCTGACTACACAACTTAAAGGGACTCAGCTCCTAATCCCTCAATCCCAAGGAAATGTACCATCTGTCCTGCGGACTGGCAAAGGACCCTCACTCCCTCCACCTTACACACATTCAAGATCCCTATGCTGAAACAACTGAGATCCTACCTGAAATGGATAGTTATACCAGCACTGTCGGATGTCCCAGAACCAAGGTGACTAAGAGAAAACAGATAATCCACGTCAGTCCTCAAGATTCTCACCTGGCTTCAAGAGCTAACCCATGTATCCCCTTCTCTCTAGGCTGGGGCAAATGAGAGGCAGGAAAGCCCCTGAACAGATTTTAGGGCTCCCTAAAGGATCAATAAATAGCTAGATTATTCTTCTACAACAGAATGTTGTAAATAGAAAAACTATGCTTTGAGGTAAATAAGAACAGTGAGAGCTTTACGATCATTTTTTTTTTGGACATGGAGTCTGACTGTACCATCCAGGCTGGAGTGCAGTGGCCCGATCTCAGCTCATTGTAATCTCCGCCTCCCAGGTTCAAGCAATTCTCCTGCCTCAGCCTCCTGAGTAGCTGAGACTATATGTGCGCACCGCGCCACCACACCCAGCTAATTTTTGTTTATTTTTAGTAGAGACAGGGTTTCACCATGTTGGCCAGGCTCGTCTCAAACTCCTAACCTCAGGTGCTCCACCCACCTCAGCATCCCAAAGTGCTGGGATTACAGGCGTGAGCCACCGTGCCTGGCTAGGATCGTTTTAGGAAACATCACCACCTGGACTATATATACAGGAAGACAATGATTCCATTTGATAACTAAGAAATATAACTCCATGCCAGGTTCAGAATCTCTACTGGAATAATGATTATGTCCTTTAAGAAGTTTGTTTACATCAACTTTGCTGCTGGACTTCTTATCATTACATTGTTCACCATATTGTCTTATTATCCTTTCAATGACTATAGGATCTGTAGTGATAACCCTTCCCATATTGATAATTCTTTTTTTTTTTTTTTTTTTTTAAGAGATGGGGTTTCACTATGTTGGCCAGGATGGTCTTAATCTCCTGACTTCAGGTGATCCGCCTGCCTCGGTCTCCCAAAGTCCTGGGGTTACACGCGTGAGCCACTATGCCCAGCCATTTTTTTTTTCATATTTTCTTTTTTTGTTGGAGTTTGTCAGTTTTAATCAAACCTTTCAAAGAATGAACTTTTGGGTTTATCCATGGCCGGGCACGGTAGTTCACACCTGTTAATACCAGCACTTTGGGAGGCTAGGGTGGGTAGATTGTGTGATCTCAGCTCACTGCAACCTCTGCCTCCTAGGTTCAAGCAATTCTTGTGCCTCAGCCTTCCCAGCAGTTGGGATTACAGGTGCACGCCACCACACTCCGCTAAATTTTTTTTGTTTTTAGTAGACACGGAATTTCGCCATGTTGCCCAGGCTGGTCTTGAACTCCTGAGCTCAGGTAATCTGCCTGCCTCAGCATCCCAGAGTGCTAGGATTACGGGCGTGAGCCACTGCACCAGGCTGACTTCCAAATATTTCCTATGCCTCTCATTACAGTTGACTTCTTTTTTTTGAGACGGAGTTTCACTCATGTTACCCAGGCTGGAGTGCAATGGCGCGATCTCGGCTCACCGCAACCTCCGCCTCCTGGGTGCAGGCAATTCTCCTGCCTCAGCCTCCTGAGTAGCTGGGATTACAGGCACGCACCACCATGCCCAGCTAATTTTTTGTATTTTTAGTAGAGACGGGGTTTCACCATGTTGACCAGGATGGTCTCGATCTCTTGACCTCGTGATCCACCCGCCTCGGCCTCCCAAAGTGCTGGGATTACAGGCTTGAGCCACCGCGCCCGGCCCCTACAGTTGACTTCTAATTTAATTCCATTATGGTCAGAGAACACATTCTTTAAGATTTCAATATTGTGAAATTTGCTGAGACTTATTTTATGGCCCAGCATTAGTTTATCTTTCTACACACTCTTGAAAATTATATGTATTCTTCAGCTGTTGGTGTAGTGTTCTAATGTCAATAAGGTAAAACTGGTTGATCATGTTGTTCATATCTTTTACATCCTTAGTGATTATTTTTTGTCTAGGGTTTAGGTCAGTTACTGAGAGAAAAGTATTAAAATCTTCAAATACAACTGTATATTTGTCTATTCTTTTCCTTCAGTTGAGCCAGTTTTTTGTCTATAATATTTTGAAAACATGATGTCCTTTAGAGAGAAACAGTATGGTATGGGGAAAAAAACATGAACTCAAGAAACAAAAAGCCTGAAATTCTTCCTTCTTTTTCTGAGGCAGAGTCTTGCTCTGTCACCCAGGCTGGAATGTAGTGGCTCCATCATGGCTCACTGCAGCCTTGACCTCCTGGGCTCAAGCCGTTCTCTCACCTTAGCCTCCCAAGTAGCTGGGACTACAGGTGCATGCCACCACAACAGGCTAATTTTTGTATTTTTTTTTTTTTGGTAGAGGTGGGGTTTCACCATGTTGCCCAAGTTGATCTCGAACTCCTGGGCTTAAATGATCCGCCCATCTTGGTCTCTCAAAGTGTTAAAATTAAGCCACCGTGCCTGGCCCCCTGAAATTCTTGACTCTGACAATTAACTAAAAAGTGAGAATAATACCTGTTTCACCCATTTTAAAAGGTTGATTCAGTTTCCCCTCTTTCAATTTTTGTCAAGTGCTTTGCAAACCATTAAGTATTATGCTGGTTTAGTTATTACTAATATCATTAGTATCATCTAGGGGAGAAACAGCAGAGTTATAAGATTACTGAAGTCAGGCCCCAGACAGAAGACAATCTATTAGGATATAAGTCTGGACTATGGGCATCACAGAGAAGGAAAAGTTGGGGAACTATAAAGATCTAAAGGTATTTAGACCGGGTGCGGTGGCTTACGCCTGAAATCCCAGAACTTTGAGAGGCTGAGGCGGGTGGATCTCCTGCGGTCAGGAGTTCAAGACCAGTCTGGGCAACATGGTAAAACCCCATCTCTACTAAAAATGCAAAAATTAGCCAGGTGTGGTGGTGTGCACCTATAGTCCCAGCTACTTGGGAGGCTGAGGCAAGAGAATTGCTTGAACCTGGGAAGTGCAAGTTACAGGGAGCTGAGATTGTGCCATTGCACTCTAGGCTGGGTGACAGAGCGAGACTCCAGTTCAAAAAAAAAAAAGATCTAAAGGTATTTAACTCTTACTCCTAGAGATCTCAGCATGATTAGAATCCAACAGAGGACTAGAGAAAGTTAAGACTCACCGACCAGAGAAATCTAATTCCATAGCAGAATATGAATAAATAAAAAGTGAATCTCCACCTGGGTGGGCAAAGAGTAGAGGTTAGACACATGTCCACTCCAACCAAAGTCTCTGAGGCTGGGGAGGTCAAGATAGCAGATTTGGGGATAAGAGAGTTAAAGGACCAATTCCTAGAACAGGGGTAACTACTGTCATTTAAAAAGCCAAAGACTGAGCCATTTTCCATTAGGAAAAATATTAGGCACTATTATCAGACTCCCTAGCATTTTTCTTTACATGAAAATTATTAAAACAGTGCTCAGAGGATAATTAGAAAAAGCTCAATAAAGTGAAGAATAGTAGTTCCCAGAAAAGGAATGCTTCCTACAAATTTTTTTTTAGAGGCAGAGTTTCGCTCTCGTTCCCCAGGCTGGAGTGCAATGGCACGATCTTGGCTCACTGCAACCTCTGCCTCCCAGGTTTAAGCAATTCTCCTGCCTCAGTCTCCCAAGTAGCTGGGATTACAGACATGTGCTACCATGCCTGGCTAAGTTTTGTATTTTTAGTAGAGACGGGTTTTCTCCATGTTGGTCAGGCTGGTCTTGAACTCTCGACCTCAGGTGATCCACCCGCCTCGGCCTCCCAAAGTGCTGGAATTACAGGCGTGAGCCACTGCGCCCAGCCAGAATGCTTCCTACAAATTGTCAACTTATAGCAAGCAAGCCAGTACTCTGTTAAAGTATACATGTATGAGTACATCTACTTATGTAAGTACAGTTATGAGAACTTACTTCCAATCTATTTGGAAAAAGGGAAAAAAATGGAACCACACCTAGCTTCGTGGCAACATGTCCAAGAACCTTAAGGGAATCAGTGTTCCAGTTCCCTTCTTTGGTACCTATAATAGGCTGAGTTAGCCCTCTGTAGCCATTAACTGCTGTCCTAACAACAGAAGTGATTTCCAAAAAGAAAACTTTAGTCCAGTTGTATCCCACTCTCTCCCTTATTCTCTCCCTCCTTCCTTGCATACTTACATGCTTTCACAGAATTTAGTGAGCGTTGGGGGCTTGTCCTGATTCCTCCGATGGCGAAACCAGCATTGGATTTTTCGGACATTCCAATCCAGCTGCTTTGACAGGCCCTCCAGCCTTTTCTTGTCAGGATACTGTAAATGTATAACCAGAGTCAGAACACCAGTGTCTCCTCAGACCCCTCCTTCAATCCCACTGACTAGCTGAGTGACAAGGTATGATAGCCATCTAGCCATAGTGGCTCAAGTGATGTTTATCTTTCCAGGTTTTATCCCAAAGTCATTTTTAGTCAGAAATTTTGTCTTACATATCAAGGATTTTTACAGCTCACCTATATACATCCTTGTTTTGTCTTTTTCCCCAGCCCAAGCTGAGTGAAAAAGGAAATTAAAAACCCAAATTGGCCAGGCACGGTGGCTGATGCCTGTAATCTCATCACTTTGGGAGGCCAAGGCAGGAGGATCACCTGACATCGGGAGTTCGAGACCAGCCTGACCAACGTGGAGAAACCCCATCTCTACTAAACGTACAAAATTGCCAGGCATGGTGGTGCACGCCTGCAATCCCAGTTACTCAGGAGACTGAGGCAGGAGAATCACTTGAACCTGAAAGGCGGAGGTTGCAATAAACAGAGATCGCACCATTGCACTCCAGCTTGGGCAACAAGAGCGAAAGTCCATCTCAAGAAAAAGAAAACCCAAACTGCATGCCAGGCCATGGTGGCTCATGCCTGTAATTCCAGCATTTTTGGAGGCCGAGGGCTGAAGGATAGTCTGAGCCCAGGAGTTCAAGCCCAGCCTGGGCAACATGGCAAAACCTCGTCTCTCCAAAAAACAACAAAAAACCCAACTGCAAAGGCTATCAGTACCATCTCCATCTCAGTTACATAACTAGGCAGTGACAGAAACTGGAACAAGGAGAAACAAAAACAAGATACGGTGCGTGTTTGGGAAAAGGGGTAAAGGTGGCTGCTGGGCCTAAAACTCAAACATACTGCCTATGTAAACTTGACATATATAGGGCCCAAAGGTTTTCCCTGAGGGGATAAATCTCTCCATATACCTATATGGACTACTCAAACATGAAAGATCATCCCATTCTATCCTTACCCTTAGAGGTATGTGCTCTCTCTCCTGCCCTGCCCCATGGAACAACCCCTTATGTAAATTTTCCTGTTTTTTTGCCTACTTACCTTAGTAATAGATATGAACACCTTTTCAAGGATGGCATTGGGTTGGGCCTGATAAGGACCACTGTCCTCGATGCCAATATGGAGTGCACAGGGTTTGGCAATAAACCTGTAATAGAGAAAACCCAAGGGCCAAATGTTTTTTAAAAATTTATTTATACGGCCGGGCGCAGTGGCTCAAGCCTGTAATCCCAGCACTTTGGGAGGCCGAGGCGGGTGGATCACGAGGTCAAGAGATCGAGACCATCCTGGTCAACATGGTGAAACCCTGTCTCTACTAAAACTACAAAAAAATTAGCTGGGCATGGTGGCGCGTGCCTGTAGTCCCAGCTACTCAGGAGGCTGAGGCAGGAGAATTGCCTGAACCCAGGAGGCGGAGGTTGCGGTGAGCCGAGATCGCGCCATTGCACTCCAGCCTGGGTAACAAGAGCGAAACTCTGTCTCAAAAAAAAAAAAAAAAAATTATTTATAATTGACACATAATTGTCACAATTGTACATATTTATGGGGCACAATGTGATGTTTCAATGCATGTATACATAGTATAGTGATGAAACTGAGGCTATTGCCATATCCATCACTTTCAACATTTATCACTTCTTTATGGTGACAACATTCACCGGCCTCAGCCTCCCAAAATGCTGGGATTACAGGTGTGAGCCATTGTGCTGGATGGATGCTTTTTAGAAATGCATAATCTTGAGCCCATCTCAGACTTGCAAAATCAGAATCTGCATTTTAACAAGATCCCCAGGTGATTCACATGTCCATTAAAATGTGAGCGCCACAAATCTACTTCATAAGAATCTTGTAAGTATTCAATGAGATAACGTATATGAAAGACCCTGGCACAAAAAACAGTCTGGCTAATATGGTGAAACCCTGTCTTTACTAAAAATACAAAAATTAGCCAGGCGTGGTGGTGGATGCCTGTAGTCCCAGTTACTTGGGAGGCTGAAGCAGGAGAATCACTTGAACCTGGGAGGTGGAGGTTGTGAGAGCTGAGATCGTGTCAGTGCACTCCAGCCTGGGTGAGAGAGTGAGACTCTGTCTCAATCAATCAATCAATAAAATGCTGTTCTTCTCAGTTTTTTTGTTTTGGAAAAGTTATTTTTTCATAAAATGTAATGAGTTCATTGTTATTTATTTACTTATATTGACACAGGGTCTCACTTTCTCACCCAGGCTGGAGTGCAGCGGTGTGATCACTGTTCACTGTAGCCTCGAGCTCCTAAGCTTGAGCGATCCTCCCACCTCAGCCTCCCAAGTAGCTGAGACCACAGATGCTGGCCATGCCGGGCTAATTTTTAAATTTTTTTTGTAGAGGCAGGGTTTCTTCATGTTTCCCAGGCCACTGTGATTTTTAAATTAATAGATATGGGCTGCGCACAGCGGCTAACACCTGTTATCCTAGCACTTTGGGAGGCTGAGGCAGGTGGATCACTTAAGCCCAGGAGTTTGAGACCAGCCTGGGAAACATGGTGAAACCTTGTTTGGTGTGGTAGTTCATGCCTGTGGTCCCAGCTACTTGGGAGGTTGAGGTGAGAGGATCGCTTGAGCCTGGGAAGTCGAGGCTGCAGTGGGCTGTGATTGTGCCACTACACTTCAGCCTGTGTGACAGAGCCAAATCCTATCTCAAAAATAAACAGGCTAGGCGAGGTGGCTCATGCCTGTAATCCCAGCACTTTGTGAGTCTGAGGTGAGCAGACTGCTTGAACTCAGGAGTTCAAGACCAGGCTGGCCAACATGGTGAAACCCCATCCTCTACCAAAAAATACAAAAATTAGCCAGGCATGGTGGCACATGCCTATAGCCCCAGCTACTTGGGAGGCTGAGGTGGGAGGATCTCTTGAACCCAGGAGGCAGAGGTTGCTGTGAACTGAGATCTTACCACTGCACTCCAGCCTGGGCAACAGAGCAGACTCTGTCTCAATAAATAAATAAATAGGCTGTGCCGGTGGCTCACGCCTGTAATCCCAGCACTTTGGGAGGCTGAGGTGGGTGGATCACTTGAGGTCAGGAGTTTGAAACCAGCGTGGCCAACTTGGCAAAAACCCCATCTCTACTAAAAATACAACAACAAAAAATTAGCCAGCCGTGGTGGCGCACACCTGTATTCCCAGCAACTCCGGAGGCTGATGCAGGAGAACTGCTTGAACCTGGGAAGCAGAGGCTGCAGTGAGCCAAGATTGCACTACTGCACTCCAGTTTGGGTAACAGAGTGAAACTTCATCTCAAAAAAAAAAATACACACACACACACACACACACACATATACACACACATATAGATATCTATATACATATGTATGTAGACATTTTATACATGTGCAAATACATGTAGAAAACATGGACATTTTCCTCATTTTTCTTCTAAAACAGTAGGCATTGACAGATACTATCCACATAAACAAAACCTCTTTGGGATCCTTGAACATTTCTAAGATTGTAAAGGAGTCCTGAGATCATAGTTTGAAAACTGCTGTGCTAAATGACACTGAGAAATCAAACTTTTAGTGTGACTTTCTGTTGTCTCCAGGATCAATCCACTTTTTAAAATAATTTGTCAGACAAGATTTTCCTTTGCTGGCAGATCTTAGTAAGCAGGCATTTAGTGGTCTATAAAAATAAGCTACTATTTTCCACCTCTTAATGCCAGGAACATGAGTCTAGTGAACCATCCTGACAGTATTAGATTTGTCCTACTTTGTAGAGATCATTTCACTCTGCCCTTTTCCTGCTCTCCAGATACATAGCAGCAGTTGACCTAAGCCTGGGTTAATTAGGATAAAATTACCTATTGCTTTCACTTTTTCATACCAAAGACAGGAGCTATACTAATAATGCTACCTTTGTGATTCATTACACCACTGATGAATATGAGTTATACACAAATAAATCCAAAGTCTAGATTAAGCTTCTCAACTAGTATATTGTGGTAAGTAACACAAACGGGCTGTACTTATGCTGAGATATTCATCTTAGCTCTCACTGTGGTCCATGGGGCCTTCAGATAGCCAGAAACCTTTAGTCTATAGTCTCTGGCCTCATATGCCTTACTGTATAATGCAAATGTTATTTATTTATTTATTTAGAGACAGAGGCTTGCTCTGATGCCTGGGCTGAAATGAAGTGTAGTAGCGTGATCCTGGCTTACTCCAACCTCCACCTCTTGGGTTCAAGTGATTCTTGTGCCTCAGCCTCCCAAGAAGTAGCTGGGACTACAGGCATGCACCACCATGCCAGCTAATTTTTGTATTTTAGTAGAAACGGGGGTTTCACCATGTTGGCCAGGCTGGTCTTAACTCCTGACTTCAAGTGATCCGCCCGCTTCAGCCTCCCAAAGTGCTGGGATTACAGGCACGAGCCAGCACACCCAGCCACAAATTTTTTATGTTTGCAGCAATATGACCAGATTGAGAAGCACCAGCTCAGATCAATTTCTGGAAAAATATAAAGTGCCAAAGTAGATATATAAAAAGAACAGGAGTTTAAAACCAGCCTGGACAATGTGGTGAGAACCAATCTCTACAAAAAATTAGCTGGGTGTGTTAGCATGTGCCTGTGGTCCCAGCTACTGGGGAGGCTGAAGCAGGAGGACTGTTTGAGCCTAGGAAGTGGAGGCTGCAGTGAGCCCTGACTGCGCCACTACACTCCAGCCGGGGTGACAGAGTGAGACGCCATCTCCAAAACATAAAATAATGAAATAAAATAAAGCTTTGGAGTGAAAGATGAGTTGAGTTTTGTGTATGCTGAATCTGAAGTACCCGTGGGACACTGAAATGAAACTGTCTAGGGTGAAATACACTTGGAAAAGGGGCTTGGGTATGATATATATAGAGAAAGAAAGAAGAATACAAATGAATGAATATAAGTGGTAGCTAAATTTGTGAGGGTCGTTGTGATTGCATACGAAAGAAATGCCAGATGTAGGTGATGGGGAGGAAGGCAGCAAATCACACTGCCACATGTGTTCCTATGCAACAATTTTGCATGTTCTTCACATGTACCCCAAAACCTAAAATGCAATAAAATAAATAAATGAGAAAAAAAAAAAAAGAGAGAACTGAGGTCAGAACCCTGGAAAACACCATAAAAGGTGAATTTAGGGGACAGGAAGGTCAGAGGTGGGGTTGTATCAAATAAGGAAGAGACCAAGACAAGGACTTCAGTATCTACTAGATTTGGCAATTTAGAGATCTGTAGTAACCTTTACCAAAGAAATTCCAGTAAAACAGGGACTCTAAAAGAGCAATGAATTAAAGAAGTGAAATATGTAGGATGAAAGAAGTAGAAATAGCCAAGACCCTCAAGAATTTAGGCTAAGAAGAAAAGGGAATGGCCTCAACTTCAGCATCAGAATCACTCAATGTAATCTAATCACATGTAAAACAATCTCCCTGTGCTTTAGACCCACTCTCTTCCTGATCAGAAATTTCATTTTACTTATCCCTCCTTTTTTTCTATTATCTTCAGCCTCACTCTCAACTTGTTTCTTCTCATCAGATCTTAAACATGCACAAGTTTTTCACATCTTAAAACAGCGCTCCCTGTCCCTAGCACCCTCTGGCCTTCCCCGACATCACAACTAAACTCCCATTCATTCCTCAACCCTCCTTCTCTCCTCTGGCTTCTGTCCCTACACTCCACTGAAGCTGTTCTTGCCAAAGTTGTCAGTGATCTCCTTACTGTGAAAACAAATGGATGCTTTTCAGTCCCTTATCTTACTTGACCTTTCAGCAGCATTTTATTAGGTTGGTGCAACAGTAATTGCCATTACTTTTAATGGCAAAAGCCCCAATTACTTTTGCACCAACCAAATAAATTAATGACTAACCTCCTTCTTGAAATGCCCTCTTCTATTCCTTACTGCCATATTCTTCCTATTCTTCTTCCTCTACCTCTTCGGCAGTGAAACTAACTGCCTGGTAAGCATTGCTAGTTGAGTCACCTTGGACAAGTTACTTTGTGCTTCAGTTCTCTCCTCTGTAAAATGAGGATAACATTAGTGCCTATCTACCTCATAAAAGTACTAATGAGGATTCAATGCTTAGCACTTAGAATATTAAACACCCACTTTTTTTTTTTTTTTGAGACAGAGTCTCCCTCT